GCAGGAACATTCTTTCCAGCGTTGGACTCAAAAGTAGTCCACACTGATTATATAACAGCTTCTGCATCTGGAAACCTGGAGACACGAGCGCAGGTCAGTGCTGGGACTTCTGACATTCTTTTCGAGAAGCAGGATGAGGCGGTTTGACAGGGACGGAGTTAAGGCCGGGGCTTCAGGAGGGAATGATAATATTTATATATATATCAGCAGTGGGGGTAAGATTTCCGGCTCCACAACAGGGCTGCACCTGTTATTTTAGTCTGCAGCGCCGAGCGCCAGGTTTGAGGGTGAGGGGTGGGCTGTCTGCCCCTCTCAGGGCTACGAGGGCAGGGTATGAACGTGTGAAGCTGTTAAAAAGATTCATTTACATTAGTAACACATTTATGTTTCCAAGTAAGCAGCCGAATGTTTATTTTAACCACCAGAGGTAAACCAAACAATGAACAGTGAATTTAACTTGATTAAAAATGATAATTTTGCTAAAATACCATGTCCCAATAGCCAGCTCTGGTCAAGCCAGGACCAGATCACCAAGAACCCTGCCTTTGGCATCATGCACCTGACCCATATGGCCCCTCCTACAGGTGGTGGGCCCACAGGAAGGCAAACCTACGTTGCACATTTGGACTGAATAGGTTTCATGGTAGAGACCTGGTCAACTGGTGCTCACGAGCCCCGGGGCCTTGGAAATCCACTTTCGGGCAAGGGACATTGAGCGTTTTGAAGTTAAGGTGGATCAGGCAGATCATTAACTAACAGGTAACTTAGAGGAAAGAAAACTGCTGTTCAATAATCCACACCTAATGAAAATCAAAAAGATAAAATAAGTAGGTCCTCTGGATGGGTTCTTCTTTAGTGAAAGGTTTCATCTCTCCTCCAAGAGACTTCTTCAGTCTGATGAGTTTCAGGTGAACTCAGCCTTAAAAGCACTGCCTCCACATGGTGGACAAAGAGGTCAGTCACATGCAAAAGAGGGCCATAGCCTAATAATAGGCTTTGCAAGAAAGATTAGTTCACCCCAAAGATCCAGTTCCCTGGCAATAACAGAGAAATATAGTATATGTTGCTAAGTGTCAGGAGAACTGTGATCAGTCATACATTGGGGAAACAAAACAGCCACTGTTCAAAAGAATGAACCAGCACAGACGAGCTACTTTGTCGGGTCAGGACTCTGCAGTTTACACTCATCTACAAACCAGCGGTCACTCTTTCAGGGATGAAGATGTTCTCATCCTTGATAGAGAGGAACATTGGTTTGAGAGAGGAGTAAAGGAAGCCATCTTTGTGAAGAAAAACCATCCACCATTAAACAGAGGTGGAGGCCTTCGTGTCCAGTTGTCCTCCTCCTACAACGCTGTTATTGCAAGTAAGACTCAGCCCCATGTGAACAAAAGGTGTGAATCAGGGCCCCAACGATAACCAACACAAAGAGGGAAAAAACAAAAACAAGGYGACTTTGAGCCCCGCCTGCATTCACTACATTCACATGACATGACACCCTAAGAACCACAGCATTCAAACCAATAAGTCAGGTGATGGAGCACATGACCCTCTATGAACAAAAGAGCTAATTAAGCCTATTGTTAAGTGATGGCCTTCTGTTGCATGTGACTGACCTGTTTGTCCACCATGTGGAGGCAGTGCTTATAAGGCTGAGTTCACCTGAAACTCCTCAGACTGAAGAAGTCTCTTGGAGGAGAGACGAAACGTTTCACTAAAGAAGAACCCGTCCAGAGGACCTACTGATTTTTTCTTTTTGATTTTTTTCTACCTGGATTACTGAGATACATCAGGACATCCACACCTAATGATTTTACTGTTTGGTTCTAATTGTGATTTTTATGATTTAGTTTTCTACAGAGGATTTTTGGTTTGTTTAATTTGGGCCGTGGGCGAGCTGGCACAGTTTCAATGTAACAATGCCCAGAATCAGCACCAGATCAATGTCTAGTAAGGTCTACCACCAAGAAAAAACAAAATAAAAACCAAAGACCCCTTCCCACAGGTCAGAGACAAAGTTGTGATTAAATACAGATCAGGGTTAAGGTATTAAGAACAAATAAACCAGTGGTGTCCAAAGTCAGTCCTCAAGGGCTGGTGTCCTGCATGTTTTAGGAGCTGCCCTGGTTCAACGCAGCTGAACCTAAGGAGTGCTTAATCAGTAGGCTTCCTCAGTATCCCATCAAGATCTGCAGAGACCTGCTAATTAGGCACTCCTTAGGTTCAGCTGTGTTGAACCAGGGCAGTCCTAAAACATGCCCTTGAGGACTGACTTTGGACAGCACGGAAATACCCTGAACCCTGAATGTCCGACAGAGCACCATTATATTTACTGCTAAGAAATAGGCAGAATACAATTTTTACTGAAGCCGTATTTTATTTTTGTTACAAGATGAATTTTCCATTTCGACATACTGGTTTTATTAACCTAAACAAAATTTGTAATAGGGATGTAAATCACCAGCTTTATCATGATACGATATTACATTGATGTATTTGGATGACTATTCAATATTCCTCGATAGGTCTGTCACAATACGATTTCGATTCAGTTCAATTCATAAGTCTGCGATCAATATAATGCAATATCATATGCCCATCTAACACAATGACTGTGTAAGATGGGCATACGATATCGATTCACATCAAGCAAATGATGACGATATATATCGATATTTTCATTTTGCCTCGATATAACTGAACCATGAACCATTCAAATCGATTATCGATGTAGATTGATATTGTTCCCACCTGCTAACCGTTTCACTGGGATCTTTTCCCTTGCTGCACCGCTGAACTCATGTGGGAAACACCAGCACAAGGTAAGCTAAGGTCAATGATAGGGGCAGATGTGTTGATAAGAGAGGCGTTGAGCGTAGCAGAGACGGACACAGCAATTACGGTTGATGCCCAAAAAGAACTTGTACCTAAAGGAAAGGGGGTTTCTATTGTGTTGAAATACTTTGGCTTTAGAATCAGAATCATACTGCTTGGATATTGGAATTATTATTATTCAAACGATGGAATTCCACAAACTTTACTCAGTTAAAAGTTGTCGCTGCAGGCGGTAACACGAGCAATTTGCTCCACCAGCTCAGCCGTAAACGTCTTGGAAAACCAAGGCGGTTTCAAACTGAAATCACATCCAAATCTGGAGGAGCTTCAGGAGGACGCTCGAGTCAATCATTCCTCACGTTTGTGAGAAGTACTCCCTAACACACACATAGGTGTGCATGAAAACAAAAATACTGTCAAATATGTGAGAACAGTGTACCTGTATATACAGCAATATAAAGTTTTGGTCCAGCACTAGATTATGCTATAACAGCAAAATTACAAAGAGAGGGTCATTGACCAAAACTCAGAGACCAGGTAAAGGGGGAGAATCAGAGAAGCAACTGAGGCCAAAGATAACCCTGATGGATCCGGGCAGCTTGATGAGGGTTGGGCTTCATGAAAGAGTAGGCAGGAAAAAAAGACACAACTTCATGAAAAAGTAAACAGCTGGACTGTTTGGAATTACTTCCTCGAACATGTGAGTGAAGGTGATGTCAGGTGAGACCAAACTCAAACTTTAAGAGCATCAAGGACAAGTTTTGCGACATACTACATTGAAGGAAAGGACGTGAAACATTTATACAAATATAAAAACAAAAACAATAGACACACAAACAAAGTGTTAAAGTTTAGCTGCTTTGCTAAAGGGAGAAATCACAGTGAGACAATATCTGCAAGAGACTGAAGATGTTTTTGTGTCTCTTCCTTGTCAACTAAAGGGTTGAAGTTTTGTGGTATTTCAGTGGAATGTTGGACTGATTGTCGATCCCTCTTCAAAGTGAGGAGGCACACGATGACTGCTGCAGCTGAGCCTGCAGTCAGCTGCTGAAACAATTGATTACAGGCTCATAAAATGCATAGGTGTTCTGCAGTGCTGTAAGAGAAACCTGACAAAACAGTGTTTGTTCTGCAAGGACTCCAGGCATGTTGCTGTGTGACAGGAAGACAGTGGAGAAATTTTAGGCTCTAATGTTTATTATAGAAAATGAACAGAAAAGGCAACGTGATTGACCACCTTTCAGCTGCATACACACACGCACACACACAAAAAACACTATTTAGCTGAGTAATGTCCTGATATGTGAGCATTCAGAAGTAATAAAAGGTAAAAAAAGACCTTTCACATCTCTTATAAGCATCATAAAGTGTTACACAAAACAACAAGCTCTCATAAATCAGATCTACAGACACGTTCTCAGGTAAACATTAGTTGTGTCTGAACAGAAACGTTTTCCAAATAACGCACGGAAATTCAAAAATGATGAAAAAGGCATAAATACATCCAATGTTGTAAAAAAAATGGAGAAACTCACATTTTTAATGCACCTGTTAATAAGGTAAATATCGTTTTTTTTTTTTTTTGTTTTTTTGCACAATCAAATATAAAACAAAATGTTTTAGTCACAGGCAAGGTACAGTCCAGGCATGTACTGAAGGGACAAAACCAACAGCAGTTTGTTTTTAACCAACACTTTGAGATAATAACTGCAGGGGAAATCCTTATCTCTGAGTTCAACAAGATGCAACATATTGTGCGTGTAGCGTCGAACGAGCGCCTAATGCACCGACGCATTTCACACAAAATGCAAAATAAAGATCATCAACGCATCACTCTGGATTCCACTTGGCTTAAAGTTTATAGATCATTTGAAGATGTGAACTCAGTTTGTTCAGCAATGGAAGAAGTGAAGGATGTTATTAGTGGATCTGTAAGGCTACGCTAGTGAGAACTACAATCCAGACCTGAGCAGAAGATATTGGTTCAGATGGATGACATCATGCCTCAGAAAGTCATTTCTCCCCCTTTAGTCGAAGCTGTGTATTATACCTGATGGGTTAACTGTAACAGTCCAGATGTGTTTACCTTTCTTGGTTACTTTTTCCACTGGATGAGTCAACGAATCCATGACTAAAGCACTTCAGAGTCTGCTGTAGAGGTTATGTAATCTGGATTTGGTATGTACAATAAAAAAAAAAAATGCGGCAACACAATTCAGAGTTTATCACCGAAGGCTTCCGGTTGGGTGAAAAAAAAAAACGCCACGAAGTTTAAATGATGACAGTCTCAATGTGAAAGCTGTGCGAGTACGTGAAAGAAGAGGAGGAGTGTTTGTGGAGGGGAAAGGACGCGGGTACGATGGGAGTGGTACGCGGAGAGGAGGAGGAGGAGGACGAGGTGGGGGAGCGGCTGGCCCATCGAGAGGGGAGGCGACGGTTGGCCGGACGGGCGGGCCTCGAGAAGTTCTTCTGGAGGGAGGAAGAAGAGACGCGCAGCTCTTCGTCGTCCTGCAGAGAAACAAATGAATTAACATTTAGGACGATCCCACTGTTCTGTCTGCAACCAAACTGGCACACTCAGATACTTAACATTGTGTCACCAGTTCCATCTGATGTCTTCTTGGTCCTAGAGGAAATGACAGGCACATTTCAAACAACATGCTCCTGAGAGAAAAGGTCCGAACTCAAATAGCTTTCTCGTGAGGCCCTTCTTCCACTTTCCAACTCTGCTGATTCATCGATATTTTATCTGTGACAGTTCAACTAATGTGGTGCCCCTTTTAAAGGCTGCTTTCATAATTACCCCCACAATATCTTTAGCATTCGCATGACTTTCAAGTGGAATAATTACTTCAGCTTTCTCATTTCTGTGGTCTGCCAGAGGCATTTTGTCAGCTGTTTTTTTTTTTCTTTTGCAGATACTTCTGTAATTACCACACAAAGGCCAGAAAAACACTTCCAGTGTGAGACCTCATGGAAGGACTCAGAAACTAAAGACAGGCTGGCTTGGCCAAAAGACCACCTGCCTAGTTTTATTCTAAACTGCCAGCTCCTCGGGAGCCTTTAAGAGACAGAATGGCCTAGATGCTTAGATTTTAATGAAGGCTTTGGCCTGCTTTTGTCTCTTAGCACATGCCAGAAATAAACAACATTCCCAGTAGGTCTGTCCTCAGTCAAGGGCAATTGCTTAGTGTTTAAGAATGTACTGGAGCAAAATGAAATGCGCAAGTTCATCTGGGTCCACTGACACAACAAGCCTAAAAAAACATATAAGACGCCTTTAAATGTTCATATTTGAACAACGATGGGAAGAGAGTGGCAGAGCATTCAGGTCCACTCACCTGCGTTATGAGCTGAACCTCCTCCACCGAGGCACTGTGACCGCTGATGTGTGCCTCTGGACTGTGGGACGTCTGCGTGCGTTTTGGAGAGGGGGTTAAAGACGCAGCGTTTATGTCCAGCAGGTCCACCTCTGTGGTGCTGTCCTCCTGTCCACAGCTGGCCTTAGAGCTCGACGTTATCTCGTTCTGCTGGGCCCGAGCCGCGCTCTCGTAGTTCTTCAGAATCCTTTCCACGGCGCCGTAGTTCGACCTGGACCCCTCGGGTCGCGGGTACGCAGCGAGCGTCAGAGGCTTCCAGGGATGGTCGTTCATCATTCGAAGCGCAGGTTTGGAGGAGTCCGGCTGGTGAGGGGAACCAGATTTGTGTCTCGGCTGACTCTTTTTATTCTCGGACGGCTGCTGGTGTGAGCCACCAGCTGCAGCTGGCTGAGGCTTTGATTCAAAGGGACTGTCGGTCTTAGAGTTGGTGTTATCCATAGGCTGGCCTGGCTGGGTCTTCACAGGCAAGGAAGACTCTGAAAAAATCGGCTCTGTGGCTGCTCTCTGTTGTAATTTCCTGGAAGGACTCCTGGCTGTTGGAACTTTGGGTTTGACCTCAGCGTGGAGTAAAGGACTCAGAGAGGATATTGTTGCCTCCCTGAGTTCTGCCTGTGGCTGCTCAGGCGGGAGGACAAGAGGGGTTTCTGGCTTTGTTCTGACCTCTTGGACTTCAGTAGCATACCTCATTTGTAGTGGCAACTCTTCGTGGTTCTGTAAAGTGTAATTTGAGATGGAGCGAGATGATGATTCTTCAGGATGTGAGTCCATGATGCTCGTGGGGACGTCAGGGCAAATGGGTTGAAATGCAATCTCTTTTGGAGGTAAAACATCATGTGACGTAAGGGTTGGCTGGGGAGCACCAGAGCAGGTATCTGTTACACTCGAGCTGCCTTGTGCGTCTACTCCATGACCCATCTCAGCTTGAAACAAAGTTCTGTTGAACTCAGCTGTTTTTCGTTCCAGCATTAAGTTTCTCCTGGAGCCCTGGAGGCTGGAGCTGACAGGTGTTTGTTCCAGAGAAGACAAGAAGATGTAAGCAGGTTCTCCGTCAACATCGGGAGAAGTTTGCAGCTTTCCAACATCACCAGAACTGTAATCTGGTTGCAGGTCTTTCCAAGCAGTCACGATGTTGACTTCAGAGAAGCTTTTCTGGACAGTTTCAGATAACTTGTCGTGAGCGAACTTGCTAGCATCACAAGACCAGCGATTGTGGCAGCAACCCACATTACAGTTGGCGTTAGCGGGCACAGAGCACGACGCTAACACGCCGTCTTTGAAAATCTTCCCCTCGTTTTCCTGCAGCATAGCCTCAAATTTCCTGACAATAGACGGACTGCTGCACTTTCTGTCCACCAGAACACAGGGGCTGTGGCACTTCCTCAGGGTAGCCACGGGAGATTCTGGGATGTGGAGATCAGTATCCAAGTTAGGAGTGCTCAGATTCCACGAGGAGGTGCGAGGAGGGATGGGAGGTGCTGATGTATCAGTTTCTGTCTGGCCCGTCTCGGGGCCTCCGTAGCTAGCCAGATCAGCAGGGATTGATGTCCAGGAATCACTCGGCCCTCTGTTGGTCTGCCAGATGTTACCTGGAGACAAGCTGATCCAGTTTTCTCTCTCCAAGGCTCGGAAGTCATCGTACATCTGACTGAGGTCACAAGGAGGTTCATCGAGCTGCAGGCAGAGTTTCTCCCCTTCCTCAGGTGGGCACAGGGACTCACACTGATTCCTGAAAAACATTAATTGATCAGTTTATCTCCGTTATCATCAATCAATAGATTGATGATAACGGAGATAAAGAACTAATTTATCTGTATATTATCTACTTCTTAAACACAAAAAATTAAAATAAAAACCCTGATTATCATTGTTTTACGCTGCTGCCAATAGAAGTTTACCTTTTATTTCCATTTTTCTTTCTGATCTCATCTTGGTAGCTACACAACTCCTCACTGACACGGGCGATTTCCTTTAAAGCCTGAAACAAAAAGAAGTGGCAAAAAGAAAGGAATTAAAACAAACTGGATGCTGTGGTGTTGTTTTAGTGGCGAGGTAGATAATCCACTGAAATCAATGTAGGGGCAACTAAAACATGGTCAGAAGAGAGCAGGAATATAACTAATCAAAGTAACGAAAAAGCCAAAAAAAAAGGAAATAAAATACACTTTATTAATATGGTGATACAGGCAGAAACAAAAGTTTGAAACACTCACAGCATTGAGAGCAGTCGTGTTCTTCTTCTTGTCGCTGCCGTAACTCAATTGTTTCCAAAAAGCACTTTCTGGAGGACCAACAGGAACACCTTTTTCACTCCCTTTAGAAGAGTATTCCTGTGTTACGCCGCAATAAAAGGCCTCCAGCTCTGTTGTATCCATTCCCTTCTTATTATTAGCATCTGAGTCTTGCTGCCAAGTTTCCCTGGATCTAAATCCATCCAGGAGCTCGGGTTGTAGGCGGTCACCGTGACCGAACTGACCACCAACACTGAACCCACAAGGACTGTCTGCTTGGGAGCAGGTGGAGGGCTGAGTGATGTTTCTGCTGTGGCCGGACCCCGGTGACGGTGGGTTTCTGCTGGGATCTGACTGAGTGCTGCTGCTGAGTAGCTCCGAGCGAGAGTGGTCACTGAGCAGACTGGAGCCTGTGCTGGTGGAACGTATACTTAGTCTGTTCACTGCATTATCGTCCTGCTTCCTGCTGTCCAACCCGGGTCCTCGTCGACTGGATCTCACCTCACAGCACAGCTGGAAACAGGAGGAAGAATTCAGAAAATGTGTATAATGTGGGCCCTGTTTTCACTGAATACACATGCAAAAAAATAAATTTAAACAAAAGTAGTGCAGGATATAACACATCTAGACTAGTCTAGAAGAGTAGATATTGTTGGGCTACCAATGTTAAACTAAAAAAATCCAAATAATCTTTTTAAATAAAACAAGCTAGGCTCTAGCCTTCACCATAAAAAACTCCAAACAGCAGCCGGGCTTTCCCAACAAGTGAAAGTCTATTTGGGACTGCTCCCTTTCTTCATGCTTTATCGCTCCGTTGTTTTCCTTCGATTTCCTCGTCTCAAAGGAACAAACAAGAGCCACATGTTTGATTTGTAGCAAACTGTTCCAGTAGCTTCACTTTCCAGCGTACAACTTGAGAGCGGATTTTCACATACAGAGCCAGACAAACACAAAGTAAAAATATTTCTTCTTTTTGAAGAAATGTCTTCTTTTATTCCCTGGTAGAAAAGGGTTTAGTCATCATCAGGGCTTATCTGTCTCTAATGTACTTTTGTCGCGACCATTTTAGTTTGTCTTCAATCAGTTATTCAGGTCTATTTTTGGAAAGTTCATTCAATTTTTGGGTTTTTGTTGGATTCTAGATAGATTATTTAACTCAAAATGTAAAAATTTATACATAAAAAATGGTATAACTTCTAATTAACATTATCTGACACGTCTAAACATGAACCAAAAGTTGGGTTTAAATTAATCGTTTGACTTTCACATCACAGACAAGACTAATTATTTTTGGTCTTTTTTAATTAAAACAGACTTTCTGTTGCATCCCAGTGTCCATCACCGTCTTGTCTTTTTGCACAGAAATCAGACAACAGTTTGTTTAACTCCATCCTTATTGTTTGAAAATGATTGTTGTCAAACAGGAAGTGTTGGCGGGAAATACTAAGAACTTAAAGTGACGCGGTGCATGGGAATCTCTGTACCAAAGTAAGACAATGTTCAAGGTTAAACAAGATTTTTGGGCCTTTCCTTCCATCTTTGTCTGGTCAGAGTATCTTACCTCCTCTATTTTCCTCTGCATGTCCTTCAGCTGGTTCTCCCACTCTCTCCTCTCCACATCAAACCTTTCCAGCAGCTCGGCTTTCTCCCTCAACCAGTCCCTCTCGCTGTGCTCCAAGCGGCAGCGCAGGTCCATGGCTGCTGACTGTGTGTCAGCCAGGATCCTCCGCTGCTCTTCCCTCTCCCTGCGGAGCGTCGGGGTCTCGCTCTTCGATTCCCGGGGACTGCGCGAAGCAGCGGGTCCGAAACCTGCCGCCGACTGTGCTCCTCCACTCGCAAACCCCGTTGCTTCTCTGGCCTCCAACTTTAGAGGAGCAAGGAGCGCAGAGGGGACAGGGGAGGAAGGGGAGGGGAGCCAGCAGGGAGACGGGGAAGGAAAGAGTGGGAGAAGTAGGATTACTACAGAATATTTTGCATTTCGGAGCCAAATGACGAGAAGCAGCAGACGCTGAAGGCGAGGAGGGGGAGAAAATGTTCGGAGAGGAATTAGGAGAATGAAGGAGTGGCAGGAAGAGAGGATGGAGAAGAGGGGAAGTCAAGCACCGTGGGGATGAGTGTGAGTGGGTTTATAGGAGGGGACAGGGAGACGGACTGGACAGAGAAAATTTCCTGTCAGAACTCACAGTTGGTTCAAGGGTTCAGGGTTCAAGTTTCTTTTCTACGGTGCTTCAGTAACACAGGATGCAGGGCAGGAAATGGGAGATTCAGGCAGGGCAAAATATGTCTGCAGATGTGGCCTAACTCAAGTCATCCAGCTTTCAACAAAAACAAAGATTTATAAATAGATGATCACTTCAAAAAAAGGCCAAACTTTTGCTGTTGCTAAGCACTAATTAAAATGTTGGTTTGATGAATCTGAGTTGCAATTGTTTGCTTGAATAAGGACATCACACAGTACGCTGTTTTGAATAAAACTTTGGGAATTTCCCCTGGGATTTTCCTCTTAGCTTACAGAAGATTTTTTATAACAATATAATGCTACAACTTTATTTATTTGAAAAATGTAATTACTAGCAGTAATTAGAAAGCTTTATATATATGCTATCAAAGAACTGAAATATGAGCGTCTTTCAGACCTGCACATTCTGTGGTAAATGTCATGTTTTTTCGCTGGTTAAAAGAAAAGGAAAAATGTTGGGCTTGGCACTGGAAGAAGCCCAAGACAACGCCTCTGTGTGTGCACATATTCCTGTGCGTCTCAGTAATTTTGTGCATACAAGCATGCTGGAATGTGTTATTTCTGTGTTGAGCCACAAACGTGAACCCAAGCCGTCTTTCGAGCCTTGATCGCGGTGCTATTTCTGCCCGTGGCCCGGGGTCAAGAAATTATGGTGAGAAGGAACAACATATTCTGTCTGCCTGTGGCTACCCTTAAACTTCTCCACAATTAGAGATCGCTGATGATGGTCGCTGTCCGCAGTCTATTTAAACAACCAAATGTAAACAAACAGTCAAAATGCAGATGCTGGCTGGGAGTCGTATCAAAAGGCCAAGCAGCGTTTTCGCAAATTAACACATGAAAGGGAAGTGATGTTCGACGGATTACCTGCAGTACACTCAGTTCAGGGGAACATGACGCTGATTTAACATGTTCACACATTAAATTCAATTTGAGAGAGAAACAACCAGCTAATCACAGCTAGTCTGGGTGTCACTGTGTGCCGCTGGGTATATAAAGGTAACTGTGTCACCAGGGTGACCCACTATAAATAGCGGACACACAGCCTTGTACAATGTCACATTCCAAGAGGAGGTGGGGAGGAGAGGTAAAGGAAGGGGGTTGAGCTGGCTGCTGAAGCAAAATGAGATGTCTCCTAGCTGCCAGTAGCACTCATAAATCGGGGCCACGCTAAGAAATACGCCTGGAAATACTGGGCTCGAGCCTTAGCCTGGAACCTCGGATGTTTCCTTGGTATTCGGCGGTGGCAGCTGCCCAAAAAGGATGAGGAAATGACAAACAGTGTTCACATTTAGGATTCAGCCTCAGCTGACAGTTTAAGATGATGTGTGAATAAAAAAAAAAATCAAATAACTATACAACTCCTGATAAGATCAAACATAGAAGTTGTATTTCTATGAAAAGTATTCCTAGCTCTGCTTTTAGAACTGGTTTACTCAGGATTCAAGCCTGTAATAAACAGCAATGACAAGCCAAATTCAAAAATTATATGGCACTTATGCATTTGTACCCCAACTATGTCTAAAAGCATCTATTTTAATTACAGGTTCAGTAACAATTAACTCAAAATTCCCATCAAAAGTCTTTACTCTGGCAGCACAACAGTTCAGTGGTTAGCACCAAGGCCTCAGAGCAACAAGGTCCTGGGTTTGATGGTTTGGACTTGGGGGTTTTTCTGTGTGGAGGCTGCATCTTTTCCTTGTGCGTTTTTCTCCAGGTACTCTGGTTTTCATGCAAGTTAGGTTGACTTAAAGGGATCCACAATTAGTAGTAACATTAGACTTTATTTAATAAACTTATATTTTGACTGTAAAATAAAGACTGTAAAAATACTGTAGGATGTTCAGTTTTTTATAATTTTTAAACTAAAAGTTTAAAAATATGTTACACAGACAGGGCCATTTTATTTACACGCAAAGCATTCTGGGTAAATGATGACGTGGTTAGGTCCTCAGTGTGAGTGAGCTATATCCACCCTGAAGGTTAATCTTGGACAATATCTGATGATCGACTCTTTTAAATGAAACCAGAGAGCGTTGACAGAGAGGAGAAGGTAGAAAAGTTTCAGTTTACAACTGGAAATGTGAAAGGACAACAGAGCTGCTTCATGGAAGAAGAACCTCAGCTTAGCCTGTTAGCCTTTGCTTAACAGGCTAAGCACCGAGGACCTATCCACGTCATTATTTACCCAGAATGCTTTGCGTGTAAATAAAATGGCCCTGTCTGTGTAATATAGTTTTAAACTTTTAGTTTAAAAATGATAAAAAACTGAACATCCTACAGTATTTTTGC